GTTGGCATCAGGGCTGTGACGCCGCAACAGAGTACACCAACGTATACTCACCCTGGGGGACGGTAACCTCCTTTCCGTCCACCGTCAAGGTGATGTCGGCCTGGCGTGCTGAGGTCGATGCAAATGTTCTCCGGCCTGGTAGGCATCCTCCGTCAGCGACGCCGAAGCAACGACGTCAACCGTAATAAACATACCTGCGAGCGACGAGGGGACGACTTTAGTGAGAAGACCGGCAGATGCGGGCTTGGACGCTGAGACCAGCCGCAACATCGTTCGGGAAGGGCTGAGCACACTGGTCAACGCGCGCGACAATGGTGAGATTGGGAGAGACAGTGAGCAAGACGAGCGAGGCGACGAGCAGCGCGATGACCTTGCACCGGCTTCTACCGATTTTGGCGCCCGGGGTTATCGCTTAGCGCTTCGATTTCGGCCGCATCCCATTGGCTCCCGTGCTACCGGCGCTTACGAATATTAGTTTTTCTCAATTCCGGGCAACAGCGGGCGTGCTAGTTGTGTATATTCCGGGGGAACTAATAAAATCATGGCAGTGCGTAGAGCTACAAGCTACAAGCTATGCGTACAACATGTCCGTGTGCAAATACTGAGACACCAGAGCAAAATGGACGAGTGAGTAACATACACGGCGACACCGAACGAACATCACAGCGAGCCGTTCACGGAACGAACACCACCATCAGCACATTCACCACCAGCTTCTCCATCTCGCCTGCCTGCACGAACGGAACCCGCTCCTTCGAGATCGGGCCCACAACACTGACGTCGTTCAACAACATGATGTCCGTCTCCGATATCGGGATTGCCCCGCTCTTCTCCACCCGTGTCCGCAGGTCGTCTTCCTCGTCTTCACCAGGCTCAGATGCTCCTGAGCTGATTGGACCTCTCATGGGAGGAGCACGGCCCCCGTTCACAACAGAGATGGGCATGCGGGCCTGCGACATGGTTGGGCTGCCCGCAACGTCCGAGAATTCCACGACCTGGCTGACTGGCCAGACGTACCCACCCGCCGTCCAACGCAGCTCAGGTGCGAGCTTATACAGCTTGATCGCGTGATACAGGACCGAATCACCACCCTTGAGCTGCACAGTTATCGCATCAGCAACGTGTCGGCTCCCGGGTAGCGGCTAGGACTCACGTAAGGGACAAGCGACTCTGCAAGAACCTCCCCGGGGTTAACTCCGTAATCGCCAGTCAGGTAGAACGCGATTCTGCGGCCGCGCGACATGTTGAGGATAGGCGAGAGCAGGTCCAGGAAGCGGTCGCTAGGCGTGATCAGAGGGTTGGGCTGGAGCGCAGGCCCGAACGTCCTCAGCTGCACGCTGTAGCTGATCGACACTCTGCAGCCCTTCTGCACGAGTTCCACTTCGTGATCGCAATCGCCCAGGAACGCCGTCCACTCCATGTCGCCGCATTTCCCACCCCGCCCGAAAAACTGCTCCTCCACGCCGTCCGCGTTGCGCACAGCCAGCGCCCCGCCGCGGAACCTCACGGGCAGCGTTACGACGATCGTAGCTACCCGCCCGTCGGTTGGCCGCCGCTGTACGGGGAGCTTGTTCCCTTTTAGGACGATCTCGAGCTTGTCCCGTATCGCTGTCAGATAATGACCAACGGGTAGTGTGGGGAATAGAGTGTTGCGGACGGCCTCGAGGATCGGGTGGTTGGCAATCTCGAGGGTTGCGGTGAGTGGGAGGTCGGTGGGGTAGAAGAGGGACTCGTTTTCGGTGTATCCGTACTCATCCATACCGGGCGGGCGGGCACGGGCTGTTGGTAGTGGTCGTCCCGAGGGATGTGTTTGGCATGCTGCGATGAGGACGTCGAGAGCTGGAGGCATATCGACATCGATGTCAATGGGAAAGTCAACGGAATGTGTTATGCCGCTCTATAATACAATGGCATGAGCACCTAGGGACCTCCAGAGGTGAAATACACTCACTCGTGATCGGAAGAACAGTGTGAGGACAGACGGATCCACCGGTATACGCCCCGACACGGTGAAGGGTCTTGTTTTGGAACTGAGCAATGTAGCGACGCTCGCCCGGAAGGCGGTCTCGTTGTCATAATCGTCTGAAGTCCTCCTCCGGCGAGCCTTGGGCGGCGAGTGCGGCGTCTTGGCTGTATGCTCGACCTCAAAGTCCGACATGCTAGTGTTGCGTGCAAAGGGCAGTCCGTCCGAGGACCGAGTTGAGCTGGACGGCGAAGAGCGCGCGCTGACTGTCGTAAACGACATGGCAAGTGCCAAGGATGGCAAGGAACGGAGACAAGAGGTGTGCAGGCCGTAAGGTGGGAGATCAGCGAGTAGACGAGCTCTCGACCGGGGTCTTATGACGACAAATCGTAGACGGAAGCGCTTCTCTTCGCCGGACATGCACGTACAACGTGTTCGCCCAGATGGGTGATGAGTGGCCCAGGGTCTATCGTCTCGTTTCCTCCTGCCTAATCACACGGAGCTCGAAAATCGATAGCATGAATACGAACCATCAACCGGTGGGACAGAGTAGAAGCGTGTCTATCATGAAATCATCCTGGCTCGACTGGAGCCGCTGATAGCACTTGGAGTCAGCCGCGAGTCTCCCAAACGACACGACACATTACTTACCTCTTCGCCGCCCATCAGCAAGTCTACCAAGGTCTACCTCCTGGCCTGTGCGTGCCACTGCGTGGGTCAACACCGGAGATTGCAGGTAGACGGCCCCGCAAACACGCTGGGTGCACCAAAATGGCCTGAGAATCGGGAAAGCACTTGATATATTCGCATTAGGCCTTGTTTGGTGCCGCTGAGCAACCCTTCCAGCAAGCCGCACGCAGGAGGTGCGCAGAGAGACGTCGATGAAGCAGTCGTGACGGTCGCCGTCGTAGTATCCTTAGACGCTGGAAGGAAATACAATATTCTCGATTGGCCGAAGCGATGTTGGAATTGCACGTCTCTGCCATATTTGGGACATAGCATCAAAACGCGCAGCCAACCTGACCCTCATCTACACTTCTACTCCGCTTTCTCAGGCAAGTCAACTGAAATAGAATAATAGACGTGCCATTCTTTGCGGCTTTGAAATGCGCGGCAAGGGTGTTCGTCACCCGTTGTGATGTCAGATGCTGATGTCGAGGCTTGCTGGCGTAACTTCTAGGGTACTGCCTGTTTTCGTGACGTCGCAAATAGAGGAAATACCTTGAGGTGCTAGCGGTGGTCATGATGCCTGTGGCCCTACGAACTCCGCTCTCGTTCAATGTAGCGTGGAGTTCTAGCCTGCCACAGAGTTCTAGGTGAGGTCAATTCCGAATCTGCAAACAGTGTTTATATTGTACTGAAACTGTTCTCACCAGGATACCTGAACTGCTACGGTGCTCGCGGCCTTGGGTCTCGCCCCACACAGTGCCGAAACTTGGCCGTGGAGTTCGGGCGGTAGTCGCAGCGAAATATGCTCATCACAATGCCGTACTCTGACTTCAACGCCAGCGTCCGTGCGTGCTATTGGCCTCAGGTGCGCGACTCGTTCCAGGGTGTTGGCCAAAGCGCCGAGCGAGTTGATTCCTTCGGTTACTCCAGTGCCCTTCTCTATAGCTGTCAAACTTCGTGAAGCCGGGTGTAGTTGGCAGTACTAGATCCGCGGATTCAATTGGAGTTGGCCCAACTTTACGGCATCAAGAGATCACTTGTCCAGACACGCACTGCGATCGAGACTGCCGTCTCCTCTCTGTGCAATTGGGCTTCTTAGGCACGCGAGCTAGAAGAGGCCAATGGGCGCCCCGAGGTAGCGTCCACGATCCGAGTAACTACCCTCGGTGAAACGGTCGTCTCAAAGGAGTTGGATATGACGTTGAATAGCCTGAAACTTCAGGGCGGCATCGCACTAGCGTGGTTGTCACTCAGCTTGAGCGGCGACAACGACGCTTCTACTTCTAACCATGTATCATATGTTTGGTGAGTCCAGCTCCGAACGCACGTACCAGAACTGGTCTTTCCCTACGTGACGACCGTGCATGCAATGAAATCTACTTTGATTGACTAGGTGTGTTATCCAATCCATGAGACTTCACTTTCATGCGTCGATTTCGCGTCTCCGAAGCCACCAGACTTCTGGAGCATAAAAACATGCTCTTTCGACCCGGACCCGCACGATTAATCACTCAGTGACGTCGGTGGCGCAGAAGCCCTATCAAACTACTGCTTCGTTCATTCAGATGCGACACACTGGAGCCCACAAACCCTATGTACGAGCCATGACCTCAACGGCAGGTTTCCCTCCTCTCTTCAACGGGTCGTGACGGAGAGCCGTTCCCTATTCTGTTCATCCACAGAGACCGGCATGCATCACACCACTGATTTCCCTCCGAGTCCTTCATGACCATATGGGAACCGAGTAACGTCGGGAGCGCCACCCGCCTTACGACGGCACTGTGGCGCTGACTCTTGGATGACTTGAAAGCTCATTCAAATTCACGCTCCTCAGCCAACGGGCCGATGGCAGCCCCCTATTCCTGAAGACGGCGAGGCTCTCGGGAGCACCACTAGCAAGAGTGCCGGATTCCGCGAATAGGACGGCCACGCTGTCCCCGCTCTATCGTCACGGTCGTTGTCCACACAACGGCGTCTTGGCCTGTAGGGTGAGTACCACCTCCCGGCGTTCCATATGCACATGTTCAGGGGCTCATTCATGTTTGTTTGAAACTTCAGGGAGCGTTCATATGGATGTGGTCGAACGTTGATAGAGGCTAACACGTTGCGGGGTATGCAGTCTATGCCGACTGTCTCCTCCGCTGTAGTTCTACATCACTAAGTCACTAGTGATTCAAATTCACACTAGAAGTTGACCACACTTCAGTGTATAGTCACGGTAACCTCCGACGTCGGACTAAGTTGTCGACCTTAAGAGTATTCATTCACTTGGCAAATTCTGGCCCTGTGGGCCGCGGTACGTGTGGTCAGTGTTGACGCATCAATTGACCCTAGCTCTTGATAACAGCTATTTGGGCTTCATTTATATGGGCAATTGGCACAGTGGTAGCGCGCACGCTTCGCATTAATCAATGCTTGCGTGAGGTCCAGGGTTCAATCCCCTGATTGTCCATCTTTTTCTATCCTTTTCCATCCTCCGCTTATCCGTTCTGTCACCTTTAGACAGAACGACCAATCGCGGAGGCAGAAACGAGCGTGTCATCACATCATTAAGGATAGTACTATCTTTTGTACAGCTGTGTCTCAGACCATAGACCCCAAAGCAACACCTTCCAGACCAGATGAGACTGACGGAGTGACTGCGTTACGTGGCGAATATCCCAATAATTCTAAACGGCGGGATACTCCGGTCGTCCTCCTCGCCCATAAGTTGGCATTCGACGAAATGCGGTCCACCCTCAACATAATGGTCGATAATCTCCAGTCTATCCAAGAAGTCAACTCCCAGGATCTGACAGTGGGACCGGAAAGTCACTCACGCTGGTGTTGGCTCCCCTACTTGAGCTGCGTTCTCTATCACGACAGCGCCGGCGTAATTGTCGTCGACCCAGCACTCCACCGCGCTACCTAAGCCGACGCTGCTCGTCGGCTCCTTGATGTAATACACGGCGACGTCCCCGGCAGCGACCTGAATACTCACGCGGAGCTTGCTCGTGGGGAGGGTGGTATAGAAGTAGTGCGCGTGTGACGAGAGGTCCGCGGAGCCGGCACGTGGGTGGAACGCAGCCCAACCGGAGCCGGCCAAGAGTGTCTCGGGGAGCGGATTGATGAGGTCGTTCGCAGAGACACAGTACGGAGCGACCTCGCGGAACGGGTGTGCAACGAGGTCCGAGGGCCGCGTGTTGACGCGCATCGGCGGTACACGCAGGTTTGCATGTAGTGAAGGCGCCTTGATTGAGACCTCCGCGAGGCGGTTTGCTAGCGGGTTTGGGGCCGCTTGGGCATGCCCGTCGCTGTCCTCGGGCACGGCGCCCGCGGCACCCTTGCGCTGCGCGACGCCACCGAAGAGTCCGCGCGCGTCCGTGGGCTGCTTCGCGTTGCTGTCCGCGAAGATGGGCGTGGCGAGTGCGGGCAGCAGCTCGTGCGACGAGCCCGTAATTGCACCCCATGCAGCGCAGATTTGCGACTGGAAGTAGAATATAAGCGTGTCAGCGATGACTTCGTGGCCTGCGGGGCTGGAGAGAATTGGGTCGGCGTAGTACTGATCCACTGAAGATGGGTTCGACATGTAGTTGGGGTATAGCAGTGGCTTAACACTGATATGCTATGTGTCAGAAGCGCCATGTATGTGCAGTGAATAAACAAACCTGATATGCGGTACATCATAGAACTGAGCGACTAACGTGTGCCAATGGTCAGAACTACCGAACCCACTGGTCAGTGCTACCTGAGGGCTGAAATGGCCGAGGATAAGGACAGCTGGCTGGTCGGGCCGGACGAGGATGGAACGTATTAATAGCTCGAATTCGTCCATTGCTACTTGGTCACTGGAAGGGCGTTCAATGATCCGTTCAGGCTCCACATATGTAGCGATACCACGCACTTTGCATCCGCTGCATCCAACTCAACAATGACGAGGTCTGTGACATCGGGGATATGGTGACCGTTGCAGAACCCGAAGTACGCGGAATTGGTGCGCCGCATCGCGCCGTTAGTGAGCTCAGAAGCAGGGTGAGGGAACACCGTATTCCACCAGGCGAAGAATCTTGACGGATAGCATCGGGGAGATAAGGGGTCGTCTCCAGCGCCGTGGCAGGCAGACACTAAGGCAGGCAAGCAGTCAGAGCGGGTCAACACGTCAATTTAGCAGGGCAAGAAACCGAGATGGCTATGGGCGCGGCATACTACGGTCGATCATACCACGCGCAGGGTCAGGACGCGGGTGTTCATTCTCTGCACAGAAGGCCTAGGACCCCCAAACAAGGTAGGTCCAGGTATGGTCGAGAATACTTGCCGTTCGGAATGTGTCGGAGGTGGCACATGAACGAGGAGACTCACCAGATCCACCAATCACGCTGATAGTCACCGGAAGGCCTGAGAGTGCCTTGTTAATGACACGTTGTACCCGTGCGCCGCTCCCTAGATGGAACCTGGTTTTTGAGAGCGCAACGGTATCGTATTTCGCTGCAATCTCGTCTCCCGGCCCGAGTGCTGGGCAGAATGCGAACGGTGACTCTCCCGTGTCTGAGACATTGAGGTAGTTCTTGGGTCGCAAGTCTCCGCTAAGCAGTCGGTGTCGTGAAGTCGAGGTCTCACCAGGCAAGATAGACCGTGTAAGCAGGACCAGGAAGACAAAGAGCGCAAGAATGAGCCATATTCGATTCGTGACGCCGAGGCTTTTCTGGTTCAGGCGCGAGGGTGCCTTTTCGTCGGATCCCATGCGCGCAGGGGGCGAGATGTGAGCGTGAGCCTTACCCGAGCGCCGCTGCATGTGCGTACGCCGACGCTGCCAGAGTGGGAAACCTGGGGCAGGAAAAGGGAGAGGGCGAGGTGGTGGTCGGGAGGCAAGGAGTCCGATGGCAAGCCACGACCTCGGTGGCTTGGCTCCTCCGCCCATCACCTCTCTTCGCTTGCCCCTTGCTTGCCCCCGTAATCCCACGTCGCTCTCACAAAAAGTAGCGTATGATCTGACGGCGCGTCATCGAGCAAGGCATCGAGTTCCAGACCACCAAATACGCGCTCCTCTCTGCGGCACCTTAGGTCCTCACTTAGCTCTGGCGACCTACCACCGTCCTGACGTGTCCTGCATCTCCGTCCTCCTACAGGGCATTGCATATCGCAACTCGGATATCGGAGGTACCTGCATACGCTCGGCGCGAGCTACATCCTCAACATGCAGCCGAAGAGCAATAATCCCTTAAAGCGCCTACCCACATGGGTATCGCTATCCATTGGAATATTTGTGGGCCTGATGGTGGCGAGAGTGTTCACATCAGAGGTGAGCAATTGGATCTACGTACCTGCGCTCTTGTGAGCAAAATCCTCGTTGCCTGTGGTGCTGCACCGGGGGGTGTTACTACTGTAGTTCGTATGTGTCCAGAAGCCTGTTGTCCTTCGAACAAGCTGCCGAGCTAGACCAAAATCCTAGCTCGGGATCAGGCCTCCCCAATGGGGTCCTGTTGTTTGAGTGCGTCTCTCTCTTCTCAATAGTTACTTACGATGCTTAGCGTACACCCTCAACATGGCGAGGGAGTCACGCCCCTACCGCCTATCACCCCACTCGCGCTCGCCAGCCCATCACCCTCCCAACACTTGAGCAGCGCTTCCGCGTGCTCGAGCTACTCACCTCGCTTTCCCCCCACTACACACGGGAATGCACGCGTCACGCTCAGCCAATGTACAAGGAACAGGCGGAAGAGCGATACTCTTCGCTCATCGGGCACGAGTCCCCGACCCGCTCATCCTGGATAGATACCCTCGGACTTGGCCTCAGCTCGGGCGCAGAAGGCGACTACATCCCACCGACACAGCGCGGGCTCACGCCAGACGACCACAAGTACTTCTTCGCCATCAACCTCTACAACTCGTTCGACATCATCCCGGACCTCTTCGCGACGCTCTTCCGCGTCGCCGCCATCCTCGGCTACCACAACGTGTACGTCTCGATCTACGAGAACGGCTCGACGGACCAGACGAAGGCGCTCCTACGCATCTTCGACTCGCTCTGCCGCGCGGTCGGCCTCCGCGTGACGATCCGCACGTCGATGCGCACGCGCGGCGCGTTCAACCACCGCATCGAGTACCTCGCCGAGGTGCGCAATGCCGCGTTCGTGCCGCTGCACGAGCTGCGCGACGCGGAGAACGAGTACTTTGACAGCATCATCTTCATGAACGACGTCCTCCCCTGCGTGGACGACCTCCTCGAGCTCATCTGGCAGAGCCGCCGCAACAACGCGGGCATCACCTGCGCCGCGGACTACATGTACCACGAGGAGCTCGTGCGTCCCCAGCCCTTCACGCCGCACTGCGAGCTGACTTTTCACTAGGGGCATCCCGTGTTCTACGATAACTGGGTTGCGCGTGACATCAATGGGACTGCACTCGAGAACGCGCCCTTCGAGGCGATCTTCCACCACGGCGCGTCGCAGGACCGCTTCCAGCGGCACCTCCCGATCCAGGTGCAGTCCTGCTGGAACGGCATTGCGGTGCTCGACCCCGCGCCCTTCTATTCACCGCCGCACGTGCGTTTCCGCATGGCGCGCATCGTCGACGGCGAGTGCTCCGCGAGCGAGTGTTCGCTCATCTGCAACGACTACTGGGAGGCAGGCTACGGCCGCATCCTCATGGTCCCCCGTGTCAAGCTCGCATACGACTCGGTACGTGTCACGACCTTGTTTCACGCCCGCCCTCGTTGATGCGTGTCTGACACAGAGGGTATACGACATCATCCACCCCTCCCGCCGGAATCTCACTGCGATCAGGGGCTATGTCCGACTTGGCGGGCTGCCGGACAACCCGCGCACGGACCCGCAAGACCGCGCGTGGTTCGGTCCCCATGACCGGCTCTTCACCGATGAGGAGAGCATCCCGCTCGACTTCGTGCCTGGCCCTGACTTTGGTGCGTCGCGGTGCCATTGTTTTCTATCACGTCGACTGACTGGCGCGCCGTGCGCGATAGTGTGGTGTTGGGGGTGGGACGGCGCTGGAGACCTGGATGGCCCCGACGTAGACCCGATCTGGGAACACATGCAGAACAAATCGACGGCCCCGGACGCGGTCAGGATACGGCATGACAGGAGCATGAACCTTGGGTACCCATAGGCGACAATGTATGCGCTTTTGTAGTCGTTTTAGTCTGCGGTCACCCCATTTGTCTGGGTTCTTGGTGCATTGTACATACATACTCTTAGCATCTCATATTAGACTGCATGCCTTGGACGACACATTGACTTGCCCATGTCCATCATTGAGATGATATGTGCTCTGCCCGAGAGCAGATGGAGGTGTGTTTTGAGCTCGACATAGCATAGAACAGTAGTGCAGCGTGGTGCGTATGGTGGTGCATGCAAGTATGGCGGCATGATGAGTACGGCCTAAGCGACCAGAATCGATGGACCCGACCTCTCCCCTCTCCCCAGTCACCGAGAATATGATACAAGTTTACTCGGCATC